AGTTTATTGTGGATAGTACTTCATCTTAACATGAAACAAATATAACCTGAATTATTTAAATCATTAACAGGTCCCAACTCTCTGTGCTTTAGTACAGAACATACAGTAACTCATTTATTATTAACATGAGCTCAGTACATGGCTGTATTCTTCAAACTATTTCTTATACTTTATTATCTATGTGCTTTATATCTTATTTTCATTCCATATGTTATTTATATTTTATATTTCTACTGCTATATTCTGTGTATGAGTTCAGTGAAAATTAATATGGTTATTAATATAGTTTTTTTTTTAATTTGTTAACAGTTTGCTCAAATCTTAAGACACTACATCAACCATGTAACATTAATGTCATCCTCTATAACCTACACAGCACATTAGGTTCAGTTCAGTTTATGTTACTGACGGATAATTACTACACAAAGTTTGTTTTTTAATGTCCACATTTACGTGGAGTATAACATTCATCATAACGTCAGATAACCATATTTACAGTCTGTGGTTAACCACCGAGCTGAACCTTTAGCTTCTAACATCACACAAACTCATTATTTTCAACAGCAACATCTTAACAACAAACATTTCTAAACCATTGACCGTAAATAATGTAAATAATGAGCTACACAGTTAGCCGACTGGTTTACAAGCTAACGCTAAACAAGCTAGGTCCGTAAATATAAACACATGAGTAAGCAGTAAATATAACACTACTATATCACTTACCGAAGAAAAATGAAGCATCAACTTGTTGAATGGTCTGTTAACCGCACAGCAAGCCATGTATGTTGTCAGATATGTGTTAAACAAACTCTCCAAACGAAGTAAAAAAGAGGAGAAATCAGAGGATCAAGCTGTTAGCCTCCTGACCTGCTGACCTGACAGACAGATGCAGCGCGCAGAGCTGTCAATCAAATCTGACACAACCAAATATGGGCATAGTCGTTTTCCTTAAAATAATAAAATCCGATGAGTTATAAAAAAAAATCACCCCCCCCCCACAGTGTGAGGAGAAGGGGCCGTCAACTTCTCAGATATATCTCGTTTTTTGAACCAGGCTGTAAACATGTTTTGTACTTCCGCATAGGCTTCATTTTTCGAGACCGGAGGTTGCCCCTTGTCTGAAACACGATACTGACTCTTCTTTTTTATTGGCGGGTAGCTTTGAGGCGCATTACCGCCACCTACTGGAGTGTGGGCCAGAATACCTATGACTATTAGAAAAATCAATAATAATAATAAATAAAATAAAAATGTACACCCAAAAATAACAACAACAAAAATACATTTCTGTAACTAATTATAATGATTATGTCTTCTCAATCAACTGAGTTCGTCCAAGGTTCTTAAATAAAATCCTACAGTTTCATTTTCTGAGTTCTTTTGTAAGATATTTATTAAATGTACTTTAATTTCTTTCAGGTTTTCCATCATCTGTCTTCTTTTGAAACTTTATTTCTGACAGTGTAAAATGACATGTTCCACTGTCTCCTCTTGTCCACAGTAGTCATATTATGTTTTCCTGTTTTGAACAATGTGTTATTTAATCTATTGTGTCCTAATCTGAATCTAGATATTACAGCTATTCACTGTACCTAAATTAAGTGAAAGTCTATATTCTTATTTTTGGGATATTTTGGGGATACATTTGAATATTAGATTATTTTCGGGGTATTTTGATTATTATTGTTTACATTCACGAGTTATTTCCATTCGTTTATTTTGCTACTTGGGGCATAAGGGTAGATGGGTACATGGGTGTGTCTATATAGCCAGGTAGCCAGGTGAGACTCAGGTAGGCACCTAATGGGTTAATGTTTTTTTTACCATGAAGCCAGGACGCAATGGCAGGATGACAGGGCAAGAGATACAGCAGCGTTGTTTGTTGCCTGCTTGATGTCTCTGGATAAAATAAACCACCCTGAAACCTTCAATCATCATCTGGACAATGGACTTATTCATATATCCTGCATAAGTTTTGCCCTCTAGGTGCCTCAGTGGCTTTATTATGAGTTTGTGTTAAATTTATAATTTGTTTGGAATTTTTGTTATTTATAGACTATAGATATCACCACTATACTAGATATCATTCTTTCATTTCTCCTTTTTGTTCCTGCACTTCTCATTTCTCCAACATTCCTTTGTATTCTGTAAAATCATCGTCCTTTCCTTTCCTCCTCCCACTGCTTCTTTTGCCACCTTTCCTTCAGTCTCTGTTTGATAATGCTCTTCACTTCTGTTCTACTGATGCTAACTATCAAATCAGTTTAAGTATTTAATGTAGCCTCCTTTGCCACCTTGTCTGCTAATTCCTTTCCTTTGAAGCCTATGTGTGCAGGTACTCATAAAAACATAATTTGACTTCTGTATAGTGTTTGTTTGGTTTCTAAATGTCTGCTGTCTGAATGTAAACTGATGAGTGATGAACTTGAATCTGAACAAATGACTGATCTCAGTGCTCTTGTATCCTCTATCCACTGTACTGATAATAATAGAGTGATCATTCCCCCTGCTGATAACGCCTCACTGATTCTTTTCCCAACTTTGACCTGAAGCTCTAGAACAAGAAATTAAACTCCAACTGTATTTTTGATGCATGTGTATAGATGTGGACATAACTGTGGTATCCATCAATATAACTCTGTATGATGTGTGAGTTAACATGAAACATCCTTGTTCTTCTTTTCCAGTAATGTGAGATCTACTGTGGCACCAGGCAGTATCCAGGGTTGTATTTCTGGTAATTGTACTGTTGGACTATGGATGTTCCATTGATCAACTTTAATTTCTGCTGCTTTCTGTGTTACTGTCCATCTGAAGCTGTTTGTTTCCTTCTTCTCCTTTTCCCAACAAGGTTTGAAAGTTCCCTGTGTTGGATGATCTGGACTATGGCCCTGCTGTAAATGAACCCAGGAAGTCACTGACAGCTGAATCCTTCTTATGTCTAAAGGCATGTCTCCCATCTCCACCTGTAATGCTGCTGTTGGGGTTGTATTAAAAGCACCTGTACACAGTCTGAATGCCTGATATTGGATAGTATCTAGTTTTGTAAGAGTTGTTCTTGGTGCCAATCCATATACAATAAAACCACAATCTAATACTGATCTTAGTCATCCTGTATATATGGCTTTCAGAGCAGTCTGCCCCCCACTCACTTCCTGCTATTTAGACATGTATCCTTTATTTTATAAATAATATGTTGACCTCTCATTTATCATTTCCTCCATTATTCTGCAGATGTTGGACGTTAAAGCAGTCGCTCAATAATGCCCTGGATGTGTACAATCTATTCCTGGCTTGGGGATTGAACTACGACCGCCTCCTTCCAACTTTGTGGAAACTTTCCACCCTCCCAAACTTTGTTATACGATTCAATTCAAAGTCCTTCGATGCTTCACTGAGATTGTTTTTCATTATGTAACACATCTGATCCTCGCCTGGTGCTGACATTTAGGTTTTCTTCAGAGAGCGGTTGAGTTCTGTTTTTGTAAATGGCCTGTTTAGTATATCATTGAAATTAGAGAAATGGTCGTATGAATGGGGGTTCAAGATGTCAACAAGCTAATCTTTAGTAGATATATATAGAGCACTTATGAGATCAACACTAGATTATAGATGTATTGTATAGAGCAGCTACTAAGTTAGCATTGCAGAAAGTGGACAGATTACAGTACAGAGCACGATGTGTATGCATTGCAGCTATTAAGACAACCTCCATTAATGCAATTTTAATAGAAGCTGACGAGACACCTCTAGAGCTAAGGAGAGAAAAACTCACACTTCCTTATTGGGTACAGCTCAAAGGAAGTGGAGAGGAAAACCCTGCAACAAAGACTATCCAGAGTGGTTGGGAATACTTCATGTTCCAGAGGTGAAGGTTTGGGTGGACAAGGAATGAATGTTCAAACATGTACGGGATAGAGGCCTTAGAGTTCACCCAACACACTCCAGTGAGTAGTGTTCCTCCATGGCTGTACACTGAGCCAAAGATAGACATGAGTGTTTACCTGAGGAACAGTTATTTCAGTTACCTCAACATTTACACAGATGGGTCAAAGAATGAGCATGTGTGGGAATAGGAGTGTACATACCTGAATCTGAATCTCCAAAAGATGATCAGATCAACTATCAGTATATACTGCAGTATAGAGGCAGCTATGATTAGTCTACATTGGGTGGAGGAGGTCAGGACAGATAGACTGGTGGTGTGCACAGACTCTCGAGCTATCTTAGAAAGTATTCAGTCAATAAACTCAACCAGAGAAGATTTACTCATAGAACTTCATCACTCATGTTGCTAAGACTTCACAGGGGTGGTATAGATGGACCGTTTTGTTTGGTTTCTGCACATGAGGGAGTGACAGGAAATGAGTGTGCTGACTAACTAACAAAAGGGGCACTGAACAAAGAAAGAGCAGTCTCAATCCCTCTTGGGAAAGGAGAAGGAAAAGCAGTGATTAAAAAAACAAGGGAACAGAAATATGGCAGAAAAGATGGGATGAGGATCAGAAAGGAAGTGGTTTGTATAAAATACAAAAATCCGTTGTCGCAAAGAGCTATAAAGAAAGGAATAGAAGGGAGGAAATGATCATAATGAGACTTAGGGTCGGTCATACTGGGCTGAATGACACAATGGTTATACTAGGGAAAAGGAACAGGGATGAGTGTGGAAGATGCAGAACTCAGGAAAATGTAGAACATACATTATTACATTGTAATAAGTATGTAAATGAGAGAGAGAGATTGAAAGAGAAAATCAGCGCTACAGGGCGTGAATGGAATCTGAGCGGAATACTGGACACAGAGGAAGAAGGAGAGGAGATAAGAGCTGTCAGGAGGGCTCTTTATTCATTCTTATATTACACAAAGGTGGCAGGAAGAATTTAAAGTCTAGACAAGGGAAGTGACATGATGATACACACTCTTGAACAGTAGGTGGCGGTATGCACCTTTAAGCTGTTTGCGATCCGCCAAACATTCCCAGAGAAGAAGAAGTAGAAGATGGCGGACCGGATGCAGCATGTTTTCTGTTAGCTTCGTCTGCATACTTTACCTTCCAACTCAATTCTATGTGATCGTATGAATCTCTAATACACCATACTGACGCTCTAACCATAAAGTGCTCCGGAAACTGCAGCATGAAGACGAAGAAGAAGCTCTCTTCAGCCCGCAGTAGCTCGGAGATTGAAGACCACGATGATGCTAAGATGGAGGTCTCTACCGAGAGCTCCAAAAGGAAAGAGCCTTTGTCAGCAGCGAGGAACCCACCAGCAACTAAAAAGAAGGACACTGACTCAGAGAAAGGTAGGGAAGGAATGAACGAAGTCCTGGACGCAATAAAACAGCTAACTGGAAAAGTGGACACGCTAGGTACACAGATACAGCAACACTCACTTATGCTAGCTAACATAGCTAAAGCTGTTTAGTTCAATGCGGAGTCCAGCTTCAGACCACAGGCCGAGAAGCTTCAACTTTAAAGGTGAACAATGCAGAGTTCATGGAAAGAGTCCTGGAACTCACTGCTGTCAAGTCAGCCCGCGTTTGATTTTTGCTGCGCATTTATCTGATCCTTTACGGTAAAGAAGAAGCGAGTAGTGATGTGTAGTTCGTGAACGATTCATTCAAAACGAACGAATCATCTGGGTGAACGAACTGAACTGAATCACTTACTGAAAAGAGTCGTTAATTTCTCAACTTCATTTGTGCTCTCCTCTCTCCCGTCTCGTATCTCTCTCTCTAGACCGTAAGAGTCTCTCAAAGCCCGCCCTCCCTCTCCCTTTCATGTCAGTGATACGTACTGACTGAACCAACAGGACGGAGTCGGTCGGGAGCTCTGTGTCGCTAAAGCCCGCCCCTACTTCTCCCTCTTATGTCTCCAAAATTGAGAAAGTAGCAAATATATTATTTAACATTTGTGTCGCGAAAATGTTTGTGGGTCAATGACGTGACACTCATTTTTTTGTGTCCATAAGGTTAAGTTAACTTTTAAAGGCTTAAAATTTAAAAATAAATGCACAAATGACATGCTTTCATTCTTTGTTTTGAGGACCTAGTCTAACATGTATATTTATTATACATTTTTAGAGAATAATTGGGGTGTTTAGGCAAAAATGTCTAAGTGGTGTAACCGTTGAAACTTCATACCAAAGAATTAAACTTCCTTTAAAAAGGTTAAATTTTCATATAACACCCTATGAACTAGTCTGGCATAATCTTACAATAGAACTGTTCAATAGTAAATAAAAGTAATGGAACATCACTGTTCTTATTATTATAATTATTTTAGGGAAATCGTGTCACCCAGTCAAGTACCAAATTGTCAACATGGTGTAACCACCATTGAAGGAGCCATTTTGTTAATATATTCATCATATCATGTGACAAGAAATGATATCACAAAGAAGAACCCCTGATGGTCCTAACTGCTGCACGCCATGTTTAGCAACTCTCTTTAAAACATGAGATAATTTGACATTTTAAGGGCGTGGTCAGGTATGTCAAATGGTATGACCTCAGAAAAACATTAACAATTTATGATAATTCTAAAAACTTGTATTCACTTTGAAAATTAGATTTGAAATGTTCACACCAGGAACTGTGCTAACATAGGTCTCAATAATAATGCCTGTCAAATTTGATTTGAAGTGGAAATGTCAAATGGTGTAACCGGTTACACTATTTTACTTTTATGACAAGCCTTTCTGTTAGAGGCCACTTTTGTGAAATATCAGTATATTTTCTAATGTTGATTAAAGTGGTGATTCATCCACAACCTTATTATCAAAGGTCAAGAACAAAATGCCCTGGCATTTTGTAAATGTTGAGCTTCAAATTGCATATTTGTGTTCCGTTTACTTACATTTATAGAGGTGCACTGTGTAGTTTTGGTAGAGAAATGTTAAAGTTGGAGAAATTTACAGATTATGTGGTATATGTCCATCATAACTCTAAACACAAACTGTCCTCAGATGAAAATTTGGTCTCTGGAACACTGAAGATAAAATGCTACTGGAGACGTTATGGTGGGGGGTCCACAACAGTGACATCGTAACTCTCCTGGTAACTTTATTTCCAAACCGTGTTCCAGGGACCCATTTTTTACTTTGAATAAAGTTTGTGTATTCAGTTCAGAAAATTTATCAAAGAATTGTTTCACTTCTCCAACTTTCAAATTTCACCACCAAATCTACATAGTGCACCTTTAAACATGTATAATCTAATATATGTATGTATGCTGTAATATTGGCACCTTTGCATTTTAGATGTGTCAGCTATTAGCTGCCATGTGGTAGGGTAGGTAGTATCAGCGTGTCACTACCTGGAGCTTTCTTGCCAAAGTCTGGTACTATAGAAGGTGGCAGTGCTGTGATGGCCATGATGTAAAGAAGGAGAGATGTAAAGTGTTGCCTGTGGGTATGTTATCCTTTGATTCGGGCACAAGTACCTTGAGTTTATTCCAAATACTGAAGAAATGAATTCCCCCTGAAGATTTTGGTCAGATGTTGTAATTTACTTAAGATATGAATTAATTAAGGATGCACCGATCCTGACTAAGACAGCTAGATCAGGTATCAGTCAGAATTTGCCGATCTATGAGACCCATACAAAAGGCCGATCTATTCACTTCAGTTTTATACTATTCTGTGTTCAAGGCAAACATACGTGTGCTACATTACTGTCATCAGCGTACTGGTATTCTGTGCACTTTGGTAGGTGGAGCAAACATAAAATGGAGGAAGCTAACAACAATTTCTTCAAGAAACAATGGCCTTTGACTGTAGAAGCAGTATGGTCAGTTGGTGTAACTGGTTTGTGTCAATTGGTGTAACCAGTATTTCTTGTAAAAAAATATAATAAAACACAGGACAATTAAAGTGGAATAAAAGTAGTCCTCTATTGCAGTGAAATAACAGGTTTTTAAACAATTTTTACATAATTTGCCAAAAATTAATTAGAAAACAGAGGTGTTTACAGCTTTGTGCCCCGCTCAGTATTGAAAAAGGGCATAATTTATGAATTTAGGGATAATCCTAATAAAATCTAGAAATTAGATTTAAAAATTCTTGTGCTATTTTAAAATGAAGTAATTAAAATCATGAGTACGCTTGCATATACTCTAGATGTATAAAAGAATCAATATTCTTAATTTTTCAGTGGTTACACCACTTGACATTTTTAGGTCCATTTAGTCTTACCTTTTGAAAAAACAAAGGTTTAAATGTCATTTTAAAAAACACAAAACCAACATGAATACAAATCTCACATTTTAATGAACCTGATGCATGCTTTCAAATTGTGTTTTTAAAGGATTTTTGAATTGGTCATCTGAACAACCCTTATTTGTCACTGACCCATGTGCTTTTTATAGCTGCTGTCAGTTTGTAAACGGCTTTTATATCCAACTTAATTTCACTCAACTGACTGTTTTAACATCCACTAACGATCGTGTTTCAGTCAGTACAGTGTGTGTGTGACTGAGGCTGGTGACTCGCAGTCTCGCTCGTTCACGTTCAGTCAGTGTTTCGTTCACTGAACGAACTGAGAGGAAGAGAGTGACTCGGAGGTGGAGCTCTTGTTCAGTTTGTTCAGTGAACGAACTGAACGAGAGCTCCGACATTAATCACTGAACAAACTGAGAGGAAGAGCGGCGCTCTCATTCAGTTCGTTCAGTGAACGAACTGAATGAGAGCTCCGCCTCCGAGTCACTCTCTTCCTCTTCGTGTACTGAACGTACTGAACAGAACGGTCGGGGAAAATAAATGTGATTGTTTTAGCAGCTTTCAGTTTGCAAACTGTGGCTTTATCCAACTAAATTCTCAGCTCATTGGCTTATTATTCACCACCGGCTGTTCTCAGTACGATCGCGAGCAGAACTAAACGTTCAGCCGTGTTTCAGCTTATTAAATTCTGATTCACAGACAGAGCTGCGGAGAAGTACTGAACGATTCGGTGAACGAATCACTTTACTGAACTGATTCTACTGATTCAGTACACTGAAAAGAACTGCTTTTCACATCACTAGAAGAGAGTCGCTCTGACCCATGTGACACTGGACTGAAAGTAGATACTTCAAAATAAAAGCACGGCAAAAGATTAGATAGATAGATTGAATGCAATGTGATTTTATGTGTTTTAAATTTCACATTTCAAACAATGTCTTGATAGGTTTGCAAATAATTTCAGTAAACCATGAAGACATTACGGTGGCCCTCAAGGTAAACTGTTTAAATATTTGATAATTGTGAAACCAGTTCACTACATGTAAAAATATTTAATGGAACACAAAAACATTTCAAAAAGACATAAAAACATTTTTGGCTTCGGGTGTTGACTGCTGACAGGAGAGTTTTAGTTTGTGAAGACAGGATGCCTGAAAGTTAATTTTCCTAATAAGTGGATATTTGTTGTGCAGACAGAAATGTGTAGTAGTTCAGTCCAGGACTTGGAGCGCCTGGAGCATGTAGGACTCTTCTGCTTAGTTGTTGATAGTTTCGAGTAAAGGTCATCACCTATGTTCACCTGCATGAGCGTTTTCGTGCCGTCTTGTTCAGAAACAGTTTACGTGTCTCGATGATGCGTGGAATGCCGTTGTTATGGATAAACGTTGAGCGAGTAGCACTTGTTCTTTTAGTTATTAGACACCTGCAGTGGTCTTATCTGATCAGACATGATCAGTGCGTCTCCACATCAAGGTAGACATGGTGCTCATGTCAGCAGCAGCGCTGTAACTGAATTTACAGGTGAAATCTCCTGAGTGACTGCGCGGCTCAATAAGTCTCTAAAACATTTATGTATTACTGATATGTTTTATTTGAACTATTTTACAAGCTAAGGCTAAGCTAAGTTTGCTAGCTAGTATGGCCTTGTTTTTTTACACTGTCAAAATATAGCAAACTACTTACAGCATTCAGGTGACTTTTCAAGCTTCTTGTGCCACCATGGTAGGCACACTGCCTTTGTCTTCACTAAATTTAAAGTGTTCCCACACAGCTTCGGCATTTTGTCTTCCCTTTAACTGAAGTGTGACGCTGACTGACCGCGTGAGGATAGGAATATAAGGTACCCCAAAAAAAATGAATATTCGAATACCAAAATTAATAATCAATTGCCTTCCTGACGAACAAATATTCGAATAGCCGAATATTCGGGTCCAGCCCTAGAAGGATGTCCATCTTTCCTTCATTGATCTCATCCACTGTGACTGACACTGCTTCTGCTGAGAGAGTTACTACTCATTTCATAGCCGTAGAAGCATTTCAAATTGAGATAGAAAAATCCTAGGAACTAAGGTAGAAAGGTCAGAAGGTTCCTGTGGGGCTGATAGTCTCTGAATTCATTTGAAAGCACACTGTTTCAACCTCATTGACACCGCAGTGTGCCAGCTTCACTGTAGCTCAGCTTGCCCAGAGCAGATCGGCCTGAAAACCACACGTAACTTTCGTCCACGGCTCGTGGTCGTCTCACGAGAAATTCGTACTGCTTTACAGCATTACTGCAGTCAGCAGCACTTATGCTATGAAAGGAAAAGTACGGTGACGGATGAAGCTTAGAATAGAAAATGTGAGTGTGACCGAACAAGAAGCCGGACCAGAGGAACTATTGTGGTGCGTTCCAGTTGATCTCGTAAGTGGGAAATTCCCAGTTCCCAGTCAGAAGTGTCAACTGGAACGCCCCCTGGAGTCGTAATTACAACCCCGGAAACTCGGAGTAAAAAAAGTAACCAGAGTTTGGATCCAATATGGCTGCTACGTGTGTCGAAAGGGATGTTTAAGCTGTAACTGTTGATTTCATTAGCAGTTTAGTTGTCTTTTTTGTAATTAAATCAATCAGACTGATGGAATCGTGCAAGTTCTCTCTGTGGAGGTGTTTCATGTCATTTTCAGTCAGAAACTATCACGTAGTGTGTTTTTATCGTCTGGTATTAGCTAACAAAACAAAGTTACTCCTTGGACGAGTCCATGTTGCTTTTCCGACTTGCAACTGGAACGCAGTTATTTCGGGTGTGACGTCATTCCCACTTCCAAGTTCCGAGGTAAATGGAACGCAGCATTAGAGAGGCTTTTACACGTTGGAGAGAGCTTCAAGAAACAGTGGGCTGCAAGTCCAGCGCTGGGCTTGTAATGCTGGTGAGTAATTCTTTTTTCTTTTCATCATCATTTTAGAGTCGTTTCACCAAAAAAACATTCAGTCTATCTCCACAGGTAGATGACGTTATCATACAAAGACCAGAATGTCAGAATAATGTTACGGTCCCCTGATGATAGCGTTAGCGACGCATGCAAAACGTTATTTGTTGGAGATTTTTTGTGCCTTTATTGTAGAGATAGGACAGCGTCAGGAATCAGGGAGAGAGAGTGGGGAATGACATGTGGGAAAGGATACCACAGGTTGGATGAGAACCTGGGCCGGCCGCTTGGAGGACTACAGCCGTACATGGGGCGCGTGCACCAACCACTGCGCCACCAGCACCCCATTGTTGGAGATATTTGGGCAAATTATGACTGATGCACGGCGCAAAAAGTTGTCGACCCCGTTAGCAGTTGTTTGTATGCCAAGTCATCCCATGTCAGCAGAAATTTAGTCTGTAGCATGATAATACAGACATATTGCATATTGTCATGGTTAAGCTAGCTCTTCTTGCTCCTTATCTGAGCAGCGCGTATGCAAACGTTCTCGCAGTTCAAACGTTTCGCCCTCATGTTGCTGTTGAAACTAACGTTACTATACATACTCTGCACAGTTATATCAACCAGCATAATGACTTCAAACTTTATTCCAGCTTTCTAAAAAGGCGATCAATCTACAACCCTGCCAGAGTCTTACAGTCAGACCGCCACAGGTATGTTTTCATGGAGGAACGTTATCTAATCAATTACAGTCATTGAATGGTAAGATGTAATATTTTACTTGTCTTTTGATTCAGGAATGATGTGTTTGCTGTTCGAGGTGTTCAGCCACTGAATGAGGAAGAGGAGGAGGCTGATGTCTTATAATATAGGTCAGTTTGACTTACATCTGAAACACACAAGCACATTGTAGTGTTGAATAGTAATAATCTAATTGTATGTCTTTTTATACTCTGGTTGCAGCATGAACTCCCTGGATGAGGAGGAGGCCCATGACTTTGAATATTGGATTTGACTTTACTTGTACTATTTGTTACAGATCCAGAGCATGGCAAGTACAAGGAATAAGGGGCTCAAACATTCACTCGACATCTGGCATGCTGCAAAGTATTTGGGTAAAAAGCTACCTCAGGTGAGGCTTCTTGTTCTTACTCTCATAACTGTTCTCTCATTTGTTTTCTAAAGATTGTGTTTTTACATGTTCAAACTTTATTGTATAAGGAAGAAAAAGAACATTTCACAGCAGCACATGTTCTCATCTTGTAATTAGGCATACACAGTGAAAGACCAATCGTCAGTCATGACCTCGATGAACCACTTCTGGTATTTCTCCAAACAAGCAACAGCAGAAGAGCAATTCAAGGATTGTTGGTATTTGTGTAGCACCAAACCCAAACTCTTGTTTGTTGGTATGCTCATGCTGAAAGGGAAAATAATGTGTTTCAAGGACTTTATAATAGGTATATAATGATTTTTAAAAATATATATTTTGCAGATATTAGAAATTTTATCACCTTCAGGTGTGACTACAGTCATGCTTGTATTTGTAATAATTTTTTTACAAACACGTTCTTTTTTTTAAATCGACAATGGCTGCATGCTGCATCATTGTTATTTACGACCATTACAAAATGTATTTATATGGTGACTCTTTATCACTCCAGCTGATTTTCAAGCTGAGGACTCTGCTCACCTTTATGTTATTTGGTGCAGTATGAAGTGGAACGTCCAAAAGCACACCTTTATGTATTCAGAGAAGCAGTTTGGTCACACCTGTATACAGAACACTGACCGTGCTTACAGCTACTGATTAAACCCACCAGAACCGCCGACTTCCTGCTCGAGACCGTGATGGACACAAGATGTCAGTATTTAGTGTGACAGTTGTCTAACATACAAATGTATTGTTGCTGTTTCCTAAACAGTTTTGAAAATATGAAACCACTCTAATACACAATTCTATTATTATCCAAGGTCCTGAAGTTGCTGCAATAAAAATCAAAGAGCTGGAGTGTGAACGCCTTGAAAGAGATGAGACTACGGTCAATAATGCTGATGATCCACAGGCACCACCCACAGCTGAACTTTACTCACATTTCACAGGGAGAAACTGCTCCTAAACTTTCTGCTGGTCTGTATCTACAGCTGTGCATGATCAGAGCTCAGGTCCATCATAACATAGCTCCAGGATGGTGTAGGGCCCCCCCCCCTCCTTCATCAGAGCTAATAAAAACCTATTTTATCTTGATCTCTTTAGCTTTTCCTTCCTATTATATCATCCATCATTATTACCTTTGATATATTTTGCATGACAATGCTCAGGGAGATTCTTTTTGTTGGCATTGTTCTGCCCAATGTTGATCGCTTGATTCTTGAAACCTTGATAATGTTTTTGTTATTATGTGAATATAAATAAGAAGATAGAACTAAAAATCAGTGGGCAATGAATGAATGAAACCTTTATTGCCCCTAGGGGAATTTGCCTTGCACAGAGAGCTAAAAAACACAATACAAACAAACATTTACAGGACAGTACATAAGAACACATAAAAAAAACACTAAAGCATCACATGATTCAATGAGGGATTTCAGCGAGTTAAATAAAGTGCAGAGTGCCGAGTTCGTCCTGTATAATCAGTTCTTATTAAGCAGCTGAACACTGCACACAATTACTAATTGTTATAACCATTACCAGTACAGGACAATTACAAGTACTAAATGCAATCATAACAATAGAATGGAAGAAAAGGATATATGTTTTATTATTCAAACAAAGGTCAAAGCAAAAGACTTCAAGGAACTCAACATACAAACTCAACTTGAAATTGCACAAAAACACAGGTATTTACAAGTCTGTCAGACACATTTTTACACAAGGCAGCACACCCTGAAGCCAGGATACTGTCCTCTTGGCAATGCATCTATGATTTTCCAGATGCAGCAGCTTTGATTCATAACTCTGTTCCCCTCTCCCAAGCAGCCAAGCTATCATATCACACATTGTCTATGCTGCAGGCCTGTGATGCTGCTCCACTCCGGGCTCCTGCTCATCACTGATGGTGATTTGAAGTTTAGGTTGAATCCTGGAATAAAAGGAAAACCGATTTTGAAAAAAAAAAAACTCATACACTGTTAGCAATGCATAAACATCTCTTAGATTCGATACGTGAGCTAGACCATAGATACTCCATATCAACCTCACCTGAAATATATAAAGAAAGACTGGGCTTACAAACTCAATATAACCTTCTATCAACGGACAGTAAATGCTGCTCTCAATCAATCAATGAGCTTACATAGATCCCGAGGATTTGTGTATGAGCACGGTGAAAAGGCAGGTCGACTTCTGGCCCATCAGTTGAAATGTAGATCTGCTGCTCAACTCAAACCAAAAATTCGAAAAGCTTCTGGTGAGCAAACAGTCGACCCAGTTGAAATAAACAATACTTTCAAAACATTTTATTCTAATTTATATACATCAGAATTCCCGAAGGACGATTCTGTTATGCTTGAATTTTTGGACATCTTAGATGCTCCTTCCATAGATCCTAATAAGAGGGATGACTTAGACGAGTCCTTTATACTAGAGGAAGTAATCAATTCAATCACAGCAATGCAAAGTGGCAAGGCTCCCGGACCTGATGGCTACCCAATTGAATTTTATAAAACATTTTTGTTCAAGTTAGCCCCTCTTCTCTTTGATATGTTTGAGCACTCTCTGGATCAGGGGGCCTTGCCACAAACACTGTTGGAAGCATCTATCACACTTTTATTAAAACCCAGCAAGGATGCAAATGAATGTGGCTCTTATCATCCAATATCGCTCCTGAACGGAGATGTGAAGATTTTGGCCAAGCTTCTTGCTTCTAGGTTAGAAACTACTGTGACAAACATCATCTCCACAGATCAAACGGGTTTTATCAGGGGTCGTCATTCTTTCACTAATATACGCAGGCTCCTCGGGGTCATCCACTCCCCATCATCCTCGGAGACCCCAGAGGTGGTGCTCTCCTTGGATGCGGTGAAGGCGTTAGACCCAGTCAAATGGCCTAATCTGTTTGCAACACTGCCTTTTCCTCTTTCGAGGGCTAAATGACAGGGTTGCCCTTTCAGTCTGCTCCTCTTTGCTTTGGCCATAGAACCTCTTTCTATCATGCTAAAGGTCTCACAGCATTTCAAGGGAATTCAAAGGAAAGATATAAAACATAGTGTCCTTATGTGGACGACTTACTCCTCTACATTTCGGACCCTGTGCCCCTAACATTGTAAATATGCTACTTCGGTTTGGCAATTTTTCAGGATATAAATTGAACCTCTCAAAAAGAGTGTTTTCTCAGTTAACAACTAAGCCCTTCAAATTGCAGATACCAACTTACCCTTTCTCTTTCCAGATCAGTATTTAAATATTTGGAAATTAATATAACCCGCACGTTATCTGGCCTTTATGACAAAAATTATGCACCCTTGATTGATAGCTTAAAATGGACATCCAGAAATGGAGCGTGCTAAATTTGTTCCTTTACAGGCAAAATTACAAGTGTTAAAATTAACATACTGCCCAGATTTATTTATCTGTTTCAGAATATCCCGGTTTTCTTCTCAAAATCGTTCTTTAGACTTATTGACAAGTTGATATCCTCTTTTTTGTGGAGTAAAAAGCATCCCAGAGTTCGGAAGACGCTTCTCCAGAGGCATAGAGTAGAGGGGGGATTGGCCCTACCCAATCTGATGTATTATTACTGGCCGGCAAACCTACAAAAAAATTGTGTATTGGATCAAGGCCCCAAATACTGACTGGTGCAGAAGCGAATACCTGCATATCATCATCACTACCTGCACTAGCAACTGCTAAGTTATCTGTGTCTCCCAAAACAGTATTCTTTATGCCCTATTGTTATGTCCACCCTTAGGATATGGTCTCAATTCAGACAAAATTTTAACATGCAAGATTTTTCTATTTATTGTCCCATCTGTAATAATCACATGTTCCTTCCAGCCAAATCAGACCCTGTCTTTGCCCAGTTGTGAAGTGCAGGCCTCCATAGATTTAGTGACCTATTCCTCAGAGACACTTTTGCCACTTTTAACGCCCTTTCCACCAAATTTAAATTACAGTGCTCTAGCCTTTTCCGATACTTCCAGGTCCATCACTTTGTTCAATCCATTAGTCCATCTTTTCCCAATCTGCCACCAAGTACACGACTAGATGTTATTTTGAAAATCGCTGCACATCTTAAGGGTCTGATTTCAAATATCTACAATACTATCATGTCATCCAATATTGTAACACTAATGTAGACGAAACATGGGATCGTTGTCACACAGAAAAAGCAGACCTGACTCGCATGTTCTGGTACTGTAATAGGCTGAACAATTTTTGGGCTACTGTATTTCAAACTCTATCTAAAGTATTTGACAAAGATATTCAACCCAGTGCTGAAATTGCAATTTTTGGAGTCCCAGGGGAGGACATATTGATGACAAACAAGATTAAATATATTTTTGCCTTTGCGACCTTGCTTGCTCGGAGAAGGATCTTATTGGGCTGGAAATTGAAACATCCCCCTAAAGCTTCAGCTTGGATGAGTGACCTGATGCTGTTCCTGAAATTTTAAAAGATTAAGTTTTCTATTAGAGGGTCAACCCAAAAATGTCATACAACATGGGACCCTCTAGTTTTTTATTTTGAAAGGTTTAAGACCCTTCCCAAAAATTAAACTCAACAAGAAACAGCATCTTGTCCTTCATGGAGCACTTAACCCTATAATGCCTGACCCAAGAAATAATGGTCAGAATATTCTAATATTTTGAATCTGAAGTCTTAATTTGGTCCTCTAACAAAATGTAAAATCATTTTAAAAAATAGCAGAATTGCATATGTTTTTTTGTTTGTAATCACATTTGATACATCGGGCATAACAATTTAATTCAATTCATTTTATTTGTTTAGCGTCAACTCATAACAAGTGTTATCTCAAGACACTTTACAAAAAGCAGGTAAAATACCATACTTATTGCTATGTTACAAAGATCCGTGAATCCGTCAACCAACGATCTGGTGGGGAGGGGGTAGGGGTGTGGTGGGGGTTGTTCTGAGTGTGTCGCTGAGTGGGGAAGATTTGTTTGAAACATGAAGTGGTTGGTGGGGAACCGTGTGCTTCGATTTTTGACTATGCTTCCCTCGGACAGTAACCCAGCCACTGCCTCCCGGCTGCTCGGGAGCTACCGGGGGGGAAGCCAAGCTATGTTGGCCCGCACCGGCTACAGGTGGCTGGCTAACTGCTGCTGCATACGATGACTCTGACTCAATGGTGCGGAGCCGTCTCTCCAACTCAGACACCCTCGCCTCCAAAGCTAAAAATAAACTACATTTCTTATATGTATCATTATCACTAAAGGAGGACGAGGAGTAACTTAACATCTGACACGTAGAGCAGGAGAGGGAGAGACAGAAAAAGAAGCCATGGTAAAGCTAACTGCTCAGCTAAGCTAAGAGTAGGTACACAGTAACACAGTACAGAGGAGAACAGAACAGAAAATGATGCAATACGCTCACCCGTAGTTCGCTGCTCAGGTGCTGCTCGCTGCTCTCCTTGGGTGCTGCTCTCTGCTCTGCTCGGGTGCTGCTCGCTGCTAATGCAAATTTACTCCTTGGCCATCTGTAACATCTGCATCATTATCTCTTCAAACAGCTGCCTTTTTCCCCGGGTGGGAAGAGAAAATAAAAGGAAATGCTTGTTGTCAAATGTTTGTTTTTCTTTTTGTTAAATAAATAAATACATGCATAAAAAAAGCAATTCATAAACAGAGTGATCTAACGTAACTTATTACATATATTTATAATATTGCCCAACTAGTTGGTATTATGATCCGTTTCACGCCTCTAGGGAAAGCATCTGTTAGATGACAGAATAAACATCCCTGCAGATATTATTTATAACCGATTGAGACATAAAGTGAGTCTGCATCATTACCGGTGTCATCTCATGTTTAGCAGCTTTACCGGGAGCAGAAAGTCAACATAAGTTATGTCTCCGGTTTGCAGACAAATAGATAAATATATCCATCTAACATTGTCTCCAAAAAAAGTATAACCTTACAAACCGATCTATAACTAGAATGGAGCCTATAGGCTACGTGCAGCCATTTATTCACGGCCAGTAGTTATCATGGTAACATTTGAAAACACATACACAAACTAAACAACGGGCTATAGGCGTTCAGGTAATATGGTAATATTACTGTACCTTTAGAGACGACATGGTTCTTTATCTTCTCACAGCGTCTCCTCACCTTCTGCTTGTCAACAAATGCACGTTGTTTCAGAGAAGTAGTCCTAACAGTTTTATGACAGTGCAGTTGCAGTCAGAGACCTGCTGTTGGCGTCAAAGCGCACCAAAACTGAAAAGTTACATATTTGGGCTTTAATATAGTATCTTAAGTCTACCAAAAGTTCCTTATTTTCTTTAAAAACAAAGGAAGGTTTGTATCCATAAAGGAAGTAAAGTATCCTAAGCTTAAGACAAAATTACAAAATAAAAGCATTAAAAACTTTTTTTAAACGCAAAATAAGTGAAATCCAGACATGATTAAAATGTGATCAATTCCAATTACTGTTGATTTTCAGCAATTACAAATGTAATAATTTGACAGCCCTTATTAATATTAAAAAATCAGTCTAAGTACCGTTAATGTTTGTTTACTGTGTCCTGCAGATGTCCAGCAGCTGTTAGTGAGTAAAGAAGAGCTTCCACCTGAGCAGCAGGAGTGGAGCCACATTCTGGACCAGGAGGACACTAAGCCCCAACACATTAAAGAAGAACATGAGGAACTGTGGATCAGTCAGGAGGAAGAACAGCTTCAAGGACTGGAGGAGGCTGATACCACCAGGTTCCCCTTCACTCCTGTCTCTGTGAAGAGTGAAGATGATGAAGAGAAACCTCAGTCCTCACAGCTTCATCAGAGACAAACTGAACAGATGGAAACAGGAGTTGATGGAGAGGACTGTGGAGGAGCAGAACCAGAGAGGTACTCAGATCCAGAGAGACGTTTACAACCAGAGATTGAGGTCAAGATTGAAGACTCTGATGAAGCTGAGACTGATGACAGTGATGACTGGCAAGATACAAGAGAAGATCTGTCAGAATTAAACTTGAAAAATAAGAAACTAAAGAATAGTAAGAGACCACATAGGTGCTCGGATTGCGGTAAAAGATTTAACCGAAAAGAGCATCTGACCAGTCACATGATGATTCACACAGGAGAGAAACCCTTCAGCTGCTCTGAGTGTGAGAAAAAATTTACCCAAAAAGGGTCTCTGACCAGACATATGTTAGTTCACACAGGAGAGAAACCCTACACCTGCTCTGAGTGTGGTAAGAGTGTATCCCAAAGTGGAGGTCTGGCCACACACATGTTAGTTCACACTAGAGAGAGACCATTCAGTTGCTCTCAATGTGGAAAACGATTTAGAGAAAAGGGGACTCTGAAGAGACACATTAAAGTTCACACTGGGGAGAAAGCCTTCAGTTGCTCTGTTTGCAGTAAAGGTTTTACCCTAAGAAGAAGTCTGACCACACACATGTTAGTTCACACAAGACAGAAACCCTTCAGTTGCTCTATTTGCAGTAAAGCATTTCATCAAAAAGCAGCCATAACCCAACACATGTTAGTTCACACAGGAGAGAAAGCCTTCAGCTGCTCTGGGTGTGGTAAAAGGTTTAGTTCTAAGGGAGAACTGACCAAACACATAATGATTCACTCTGGAGAGAAACCCTTCAGCTGCTCTGTTTGCAGTAAAAGTTTTACCCGAAGAGATAGTCTAGTCACACACATGTTAGTTCACACTGGAGAGAAACCCTTCAGTTGCTCTATTTGCAGGAAAAGTTGCACCCAGAGAGGAAGTCTGACTAGACACATGTTAGTTCATACAGGAGAGAAAGCTTTCAGCTGCTCTGATTGTGGTAAAAGGTTTAGTTCTAAGGGGGAAGTCACAAAACACATGATGATTCACTCTGGAGAGAAACCCTTCAGCTGCTCTGTTTGCAGTAAAAGTTTTACCCGAAGAGATAGTCTGACCAGACACGTTAGTTCACACAGGAGAGAAAGCCTTCAGCTGCTCTGGATGCGGTAAAAGGTTTAGTTCTAAGGGAGAACAAAAGTGATGATTCACACTGGAGAGAAACCCTGTTTGCAGTAAAAGTTTTACCTGAAGAGATAGTCTGGCCACACGTTAGATCCCACATGAGACAGCCTTCAGCTGCTCTGAATGTGGAAAACGATTTAGAAAAAAATGGGACTCTTAAGATACACAGATATGCAATCTGCTCCTCTCAACGTGAAAAAAAGATTTACCCATAAGTCTAGTTTGACATATCACATGGCAATTCACAGAGAGAACCCCTTCAGCTGCTCTGAGTGTGGCAAAAGGTTTTGTTCTAAGGGAAATCTGACCTGGCACACGTTAGTTCACACAGGAGAGAAACCCTTCAGCTGCTATGTTTGCAGAAATGTTTTTACCTGAAGAGAAACTGTGGCCACACACGTTAGTTCACACTTATCTCCCCTCTAAATTAGACAAAAGAACACAAAACACACTTTGTAATAACCGTTAGAAAATAGCTCAATGCTATATACTAGGACTCCTGCTCATAAATTCAACATATGACCACTTACGCTGCACTGCTGTTCAGTCTTTCTCCCAGCGTGGCAGCTAACACACAAACACGACACATTTTCCTCAATCTACAAAAATCATCATGAATACACAATCATTGTTCATCAGCCTTACTCTGTAAACTTAAATATAAATATTGATGTTATCTTTATCTCTTATTTTGAAGGTTAATACTTCTATAACAAGAATAAAGAGATGAACTGAAAGAGGACAGCCTTGTTTAATCCATTCATTTCTAAATCTTTGATGATATCTCGCATTTTGAAGGTTACCCATTTAATAAAACTATCACCAACATGAAAGTATTGTAAACACTGATATAAAAACTCCCACTTAACCGTATCAAAGGCTTCTTCAAAGTGAGCTATAAACACCAAGCCAGACGAATGATTCTTATCATAATATTCCATTATTTCAAGAAGACGCTGAAGATATCATCTCCTATGAATCGACCTTCCAGAAAACCTGTTTGATCAAAATGTATTCATCGTTGAATCACCTGCTTTATTTTAAGAGCAACACATTGAACTAAAATATGAGCATCACAGCACAAAGGTGTCCGGGGTCTCCACTTATTCAGTACCACAGGTTGATTACGCTCACACACAACTTGTAAACGCCTTGATTAAACACGTTGATAACAGACACGTTAGACACGAGATTGAATCATCAGTGAAGAGCTTACTATGTAATGTTTCACCATACTGCGTTCAAATTTTTTGTTTGTTTGTGAGAACCCATCACACCAATTAAGACAGACAACCATACATGTTTCAAATAACACTAGGAACATCCAATTAGATATATATATGACACGACTCTCTTTCCAACACCTGCTAACGAGGCTGCTTGATCAACTTCACTTGGATTGGCCTGATTAATTCTCTTTGGCAAATTAACTTGCCAAGCAGGGGATATGTAGCCGTTATCAGCAGCCACGTTTTACAATCTCTCTTCCTGCAGGACTCAGGACTGTGGATTATCATCTGGGTTACTTTTTCACCAAGAAACAAAGAAACTGATCAATGATTTAAGTCTGCCTCTCAGACAGGCTCTGGAAGACAGGATATTATGAACTTTTACAACACCTGGAATAAACAATCTAGCGGAAACAGAACACTCTGCTATCTACGAATTGACCCCAAAGACATGAAATATGACCGAAACCAGTCTCTGCAAAGTCATAAAATTAACCATCTGTTGAAGGACTGCTGAAGAGCTGAATTAAACCACAGCGTTCAATTCTGCATCAAATGAACATTTATGTCTTTCTTCATCTAGATATTTGTAATTGTCACATATGTATTGTAATCATCTTTTTAAACTCCAAATCTGATTTTCTGACTAGGAATAAGAGTTATAAATAGTTTAATAGGAATTTGACGTGGAGCACTATTGCCATCTAGTGTTAGAATATCCTTGAATACGTAACCTTCATAATTATACATTTAGACGTGTTATAAAGCTTACTCTTTGATATTAGCTATATAAGGTGTTATTTAAAGACACCAACTTTTTTTCCTACTTTATTGATATGTCTTATTAAGAATGTTGACTGTATAACATGGTTTTGTTCACATGCAGGCTGGGATTAACTGAGGATGTTCCCAGATGGTGTGATTTTCATTTTAACATGAATCTGATAGAAATGTTTGTCTAAATATATGACTTGAATCTACATCAACGTGGATCTGATAGAAATAATATTGAAATTAATGTATGGTGACGTATATATGTTTAGATTCTTATTCTTAATCTTATTGAGTAAACTTGGTTTAATTTAAACAATTGTCCTCCGATCAGAATGGGAGTCCCCCATGGGCGGCCCCCCTCTTCTCCTGCAGACCCCCCTCCTCTCATCCAGCTGATAAGAGTTCACACTGACCTCAGATCTCCACTTTTAGTTTTTAGTTTAGTTTTAGTTTTGGTTGAAGTTTAGAGCTTCAGCTCTTGCTCGCTTCTCTCCGGACTTCAGTTCGAATCACTTTTAAGTTTGTGCCGTAGAGACGACTCTCTGCCGAACTTTCATTTTCACACGCAATTTTTGGAAGTTTTTTGAACTTTCTTCTCTAAAGTCTTGGCGCTTCAATTTTGAACGTCAATTCCTTAGTTTGGATTCATTGAGATGGCCATCCGGTTAATCTGAATTGGAAATCGACATATCAAAAGACTCTTTAATATTTTTTCCTGTTGGATCCTCTTGGAGCTTCTGAGACGATGGCTGAACCAACGTACAATCTCCATTCCAGCTGCACACTCCGACCAAGATGTTAAGACATCTAATCTGGCCCGTGGACCTCTCTGGGCCAAATAGAATCCCAAAATTTGTTTATCAACTTTTTCCTTTTTGACCATTTTCTGATTAAGTCATTCAAACAATATCGCGTCTTATCTCATTACTAAATATATAATGTCACCATACATTAGAATTGCATTATCCTGATCATAATAATCATATTCTTTATCTGTTTCATCTATACCTCATTGTTTACCCCTTTGTATATTCAATTTTACACATAAAATTCAGGACTTTGTCTGTGTGTTTTCTTGTTTAACATTTCCAGAACTTACTTCTTTCAAGATATGAAACTGACTGATTAATTAATTAACTTATACCGTTGAAGTTATTTTCTTCCTTTAACAGGAAGTGGTGCCCCCTTCTTTTAATCTGAGGTTAAATAAAGACATAACATTTTAATAATTTAATTACGCTACATCTTATATGTTGTAATTCCTCCATAAGTGTTTTTTCTTTGTTATGTTTAAAAAAAGAATACTTGATGGTATGACCCCACAGTGCACATTTAAACCCATACAATGTGTGGGTCTGCTGATCCATTATTAACAGAGAATAATCTTGTTGAAATTATAAACGTCTCGTCTTCCTGCAATAATTGATTTCACTTCCAGTAACCTCTACCTCTGTTAACCCCAACAAAATGTATCTTTTATATAATGAGATGACCATCAGAGCGACATTATATTATTGCTTGTGTTACACCACTCACTCTGCAACCGTACTTATGGTGTAGAAAATGTCCACAGGCCAGGATGGCAAAATTTACAAGCTGTCGGTAAATCAGCACCACACTTCAGCAGCAACGCAAGAATACCAGCTCAGACTGTTTACTCAAGCCACTTCTTTAAGTTTCCCTTTTTATGTGCAACAAAAGAGCTTTACACTGCCACCTGCTGGTCAATGTAAAAACACCTAATTCAACAGAAACTATTAATGTCACATTGTGTTATTACCAACATGTTAAATAAAAGTGACTGGAATTAACTCACAAAAATAAGTATTTTTACGGGTGCTATCCTTGGTGTATCTTTGAAATCAAATTGAACGATTTTAAAAAACAGATCTGGTCTACTAGCCATTGAATTTCTTCAGCAGGTATATCTCATTAGATCTGGATTCTTTATTCTCCATAAATCAATTAATCCATGGCAGACGTCATCGATAACATAGCACTAGGTTATTTTTCTTGGTAATCTCTCTTGTTTCCTGCCCTATCTTTAGTTGGGTCAAGGACCGTATTAAAGTCTTCAACCATAATTATAAGTTTATCATAATGCTGAATCATATTGAGCATATTTAAAAAAAATGTAGGACCCTTGCTATTTGGAGCATATACATTAATTAAACATAAATGTAACATCAGAATTATACAACCATCTATCTTGTTTAAAGAATAATCCAGATGCTCCCTGAGCGAGATTGCATCACCCCTCGGACTTCTTGAACCATGATTAAAAATGATAGCTCCCATCCATTCTCATATCCACATCTCTTCCTCTTTTTGAGTTGAGTGTGTCTCCTATAAACATATTATATCAAACTTATTTTTGCTATTCAGCCAAGTAAAAACTTTGTTTTTCTTCATAGTATTTGATAACCTTATGTACTGTAGTTCTGCTTGTTTTTCAATGTATGCAGAAACAAATAGACATAAACACAACAAATAAATACATTTCAGTGTTATTGTTAACGTCAATCAGCATTTGCACTATTTATTATTAACCCTGACCCCCAAGAAAGTAGTACGAGGGAATTATTTAAATAACCACACTTAATCACCAGAATAACACCTGTGTGTGCTACTCAAGGTAGACCAACCTGTTTCCTCCAATCAGCCTGTCCATAGTCATATGTCATCTCTTCCCTAACAGCAAAGAGAAAAAGGTTTGCCCTTTGCCATGATCTTTTTCATCTTACAGTTCGGCTGCTTGTGGTCATCATTGACTAGTCTTCCTAGACTATGGAGTCAGATCAGTCTCAATATTCATGATTGCACCTAGAAGGATTCACAAATGTATTTTGTGATTTATATATGATTGATTCTATCCACGAACATATTTTTCAATGTACACACAAATATTTATCATTCTATATAAATGTAAAAAAAGGACGTTCACAAACTTCTAATTCACACACATATTTATTGTTTTAAAAATATGTAATAGATATCCACTTTAATGTATTTGCAGTTTTCATCAAAAACACATTTGGATCTTGCTACATTTATAACTGAACTGTTCAGTCTGCATTTACAAACTGTTTGTCATGTGTCTGTGTGTGTGTGCATGACTGGTTGATTTTTATTTTACTGTTGCCATCATCTGTCCAGGAGACAACAGATGGAAATTAGCTAGTTAGCTAAATCTGGTACAAAGCATCTCTTCTCTTCTGAGACTAATGTTTTTGTCCCTGATTCAAATAAACGATTAAACTAAACTAAACTGATATCCTGATCCTGATGTTGAGTTACTGTCAGCTTGTCTAATGTTCTGGATGTTTTCAGTAAAGAAGGTGTAAAATTAATTACAGGCCCTGGTAGCATGAAGTTCAGGTGCTGCTGACACAGGAGGGTTTGTTAGCCTGTCGACAGTAGCTAACAGGGCACAAGCATTATTATTGTTTCTGATGATGATGTCAGAGAAGAAAGACTGTCTTGCTACATTAAAGGGATCAGATGATCCGGCTCACTTTGATCCTTTTTGGATCACCCTGATCCAGGTACAGATTTAAGGATTATCAAATCCAGATTATCAGATCTTATTTTGTCACTTATTTTTTTATTGTTGATATCAGAACAATACAGACATTACAGAAGGGGGTCCATTGTTTTTCTGTCATGTAGAACATTTAACCCCCATTCACCCTCCTCCCCCCCCCCCCCCCCCCCCCATTACCACGCCCACCAACCATGAAACAGAGCAGCTGGACAGAGTGAACAGAGTCAGCTGGTCTTCAGTCAGCAGTGTTTCTCAGACCGACACACCAC